TGTTTGAGCCACGGCGAGAGCGTGACTCACAGCGACAGAAACGTAGCCAACTGTAGGCAGGAGGAGGCAGGAGGACCGCTGCGATGCCTCATACCCACTTTTTTTTTTAGCCCAGAAGGACCGAAGGGAGGCCGGGAGGGAAAGTGTGGATCTAAATCTCATCTTCCCAACGTGATAGCGAGGCTTTACTCTGCAACATGCACCTTCCTCCAAAAAGCTTTGGAGAAATAAAACCCCTCCTGATCTCTAAAGCCGAAGGAAGAATCGTTCTCTGCACTCGTTGCTCAAGTTTGAAAAGCAGGGAGGCGAAAGATTAGACTTATCGTGTGGAGGATACACAAGGTGTTTCATAACAGGAGGAAGTCAATCCTATTTTGGATGATATTGATTTCTGAAATAGGGAGTAGCTCAGACGTAGACAGAAGAAACACCCTCAGCAGCGAGGAAGAGGAGGAGGAGGAGGGTGTCTGGGGAATATGTTTGATGTAAATCTTGTTTGGCAACATGGAAACGGGATAAAACCAAAGCTGTTGTTGGATAAATGAAAGACAACCTTGTTAGCACAGAGACTATCCAGGTGTTAAAGGCCACATGTGGCTGGTTCAGAAGTAATGAGAATTATTTCTTCATTGTTTCCATAAACGATACGACAGTGAATCTCATACCATGTTTATCACCATACAGCGGTTAGGATTCAATATATTGGATCCATTTTCACATTTATGTAAATAACTAGTAATGAGTCAGTTAGCTCGATGCTAACACATAATGGGAATTACCTTTAACATGCTAACTAAATGTATTGTCCTGTTTTACATGTTTATTGTTGATTGTTTACTGTTGGAGCGATTTTTTAAAAACGTTATATTATTTTCAAAGTTTCTATTAGCTCAATGCTAACACATGATGGGAATTGCCTTTAACATGCTAATGGCTTTTAGCATCACACTCTTTATATTAACGTGGGAACCATTTCACTTATTCTTCAACATAAAACAACGTGTGCTCATAAACGAGCTAACACAATGCTAACATAGTCTGCTACTGACCGGCTACAGCAACTCACCCAGCCACCACTAGGGGCAGACATACATAGTATCAACAACATGCTACATTACTTATATAAAGCCTCAAGTTCGGCCTCGTTGTCGTCGCCGTGCTTCCTAATTAGACCTTTTTCACAGCAGCCATTCTGATATGAAGCAGTCGGGTAAACACAGGTCTAATAATAATAAAGGCTCTGTTCCATTTAGTGTAACAAAGCATTTCCATTTTCATACTGTTTGACCTGAAGGAACCAAACATTAATTGGTGTCAGTGGCGACTATTTATGGCTGCTGTGAAAAAGGCCTACAGACACTGACATTCCTGATAGCTCGTCTCTACGTTTCCAGGTTTTCCAGGACCCTTGGAACCCGGTTTCTGACCCCCTCTAATAACTAACATGCAGATGTTTGCTGGCCGCCTCGGGTCAGACGTTACTCACCACATCAAACATTATGTAAGCGGTTCTAAAAAAGACCAGAAGCATCCGTCCAGGGTTTCCTCACGAAGAAACACGCCCACTTGGCTTTGTTGTTCTGCTCCGAGCTCAAAGTGTGCGTTACATCTCACGCAGCAGCGTTCGATACCTATTAAACTGATCATCACCTTGAAGAGACGGTCGCAGCGACGGCCGCTGGAGGTAATCTAAAACCTCTTGAGGCGAGAAGTCTCCTTCCTGAAGACTGAGGCGCCTTTCAGAGGCTCTGCCAGTGTTGACTCTTTGATACATAAATGCACTCACACACACACTCTCTCTCACACACACACACACACACACACACACACACACACACACACACACACACACACACTCTCACACACAGAGTTTATTTAACCCTTAAAGGTCAGCACACAGCTCTGCCTCTGTACAACATCATGAAGACTGGAGACACTCAGATGAAATACAGTCACACACACACAGGTGATCCCAGTGAGTGTGTGTGTGTGTGTGTGTGTGTGTGTGTGTGTGTGTGTGTGTGTGTGTGTGTGTGTGTGAGTGAGTGTGTGTGTGTGGTGTGTGTAGGTTATTTACTGCAGCTGCTGGGACACTAATCTGTTTTTTAATCCCTTTTTTCCCCATCGAGGGAAAGTCGACTTCGCCCTTTTACAGCTTCACATTCGCAGACGTTCACTTCGAGTTCTGCAACCGAATAGTTTCATTAATCAGCAGTGATTTTATTTATTTTATTTAATGAATAAATCTCTAAATTCTCTGATTTCAGTTTCTCTAATGTGAATATTTTCTGCTTTCTGTTGTCCTCTGAGACATCAAACTGAATATCTTTGAGTTGTGGACGTTACGAGACATCTGAGGACGTCATTGATCAACATTTTAACTCTTATTGGCTCTTGAAATCTGTGTATTTGTCAGTAGACTGTTATTGTTTTGGTTTATTATTTATTTTAGTGTAAACCTTTGAGGTCTTTCTGTGAATATGTTCTGTTTTCTTCTCACTGACTGATTTACTTTTCTCCCCAGATGCTCAAATATCGGCTTCCTGTTTATATCGTTAAAGCACCTTAAAATCAAGAAGGCCTCACGACCCCCCTGTGAAGCTCTGGCGACCCCTAGTGGGGGCCCCGACCCTCAGGTTGGGAACCACAGCTCTGTGACAGCAAACTGAATATCTTTGGATTGTGAACAAAAACAAGACATTTCACCTGGACAGCGATCAACATTTTCTGACATTTACCGGCTCAAACAGCTGATCGATTAATCGCTAATGGAAATAATCGTTAGCTGCACACACACACACACACACACACACACACACACACACACTCATCTGCATACTCACACACACACACAAACTCATCTGCATACTCACACACACACACGAGTGAACAGCACGGTGCCGTCGGTGGAGGTGGTTCCTCTCTGTGGAGGATCACAGGCAGCTCGTCAACACGCCGCCTGTTTACACACCAGCGAGTGTGTTCAGCTGCGGGTCGGCCGGCTCTGCGTCACTGAGCGCCGAACACAAGCGGATCCACTGAGGACGTATTGATTTACATCCACCGGGGGGGCTGTGGGGAAATAGGTGGACCTCCAGGGCCTCAGACCGGGAATAATGGCCCCCGTGGGACCACTCAAAAACCTTCAAATTGCCCATCACTTAACGATCAAGTCCTTAAATTCATTCAGTGCCTCAGTGGGACGGAGCGAGTGTTTCTGAACAATCACATGACATTAACACACACACACACACACACACACACACACACACACTCAGATAGCAGACCTGAACTGAACCAGGACCTCAAAGGTCAGACTGCAACAGCCAAATGTCTAAAATAAACCACCTTTGTAGTGGAGCCAGACCGTCAGCCTCTGGCCCTCGCTGATGGAAAAAGGCCCTCAGACACCAGAACTGTTCTGGTTCCAGTATCAGTGACATTGTGGGGACACGATGCTGCACGATGAGGACGAAGTGAGGACACTAAAGGTCTCCTGTAGCTCCTCCAGGTTATAAACATACGGGAGCTTGTTGCTGCCACACAGTGAACATTAAAATCTGTTTCACTGTTTGTCTGAATAATTATTATTAATAAACTTCAACTAAATGTGTTTATTTCATGTTTTAACAATAACATTTTATTGTTACATATTAAAAGCATTAACAAGCTATTTTAACATTATTTCGACGTCCAAACTTAAATCATAAGAACAAATATTTATTTTCATAACAAGAAACTTTTGTTTATTTTATGTTTATATTTTTGCTTTATTGCGACAAATATATACGTTGAGACAAGAACGTGATTCTTGTTGTGAATCGTCGTAATAACTTTAAATGATCTTATTATTATATTAAATAACAACAGTAAAGTTTTTACATTATAAAGTGACACTGATATGTTTTTATTTTTGGCCTCAATGTGCTTCCATAGCTGCTGCCACATTCACGTGTCACATAAACACAAACTACAACCCTCAATAAAAACTACTCTCACTCAGCTTCCTCACACTTCATCCTCTCATTTTCTCCCAGCAGCCCCTCTCTCCCCCTCTCTCCCTCTCTCTCCCCCTCTCTCTACCTCTGTCACCCCCTCTCTCTCTCTCTCTCTTTCCTTTTTTGTCTCTCTCGGTCAGAGGAGACAGACCCAGACCTCGGCAGGCTGTCAAACGTCTCCATGGTAAAGCCGACGTGAGCGGAATCACGACGAGGTGGGCGCGCACCCTCCGGTCCGCCGCCTCCCCCTCCCGGTAACGGAGACCCGGACCCTGCCCTCCCTGCCGGGGGGGTCCGGGGACTAATTATCGGCCTTTAATGAGACTTTAATCTGACTCACTGTAACACAACTTCACAGTGGCGCGCGCACGGGCACGCATGCGACAGCGCGCGCAACATTAGAGGCGATATAGGCAATCTATAATCAATAAGAATGAGGTCACTGACTCACTGCCGGGGTCTCGCTCGCACTTTAACGGGACTTTCTCGCGGATTTTCCAGCCTTAAGGGCCACCGTCCGTCCGCAGGACGCCAGAAATAAACCAGCCCGCCTCTGAAACACGGTCCCCGGGATAAAAGAGGCCCTTCTCTGCCCCCCCCACCCCCACACTCCCCCTCCACAACTACAGGCTTTAAAATGCACCTGTTCGAGGTCTGCAGCCAGAGGAAGGGAGGACGCCTCAGCTGTCTCACCCCCAGACAGCGAGGAGGCGAGGAGAGGACGCGAGGAGGCAGGGAGCGAGGGGCGGAGAGAGCTGGGGGTGAGTATCCCAGCGAGCCAGCTAATAACACAGCGAGAGCCTAAAAATATCCCCGAGCTCAGAGCCGCTGCTGCACCGCCGCAGAGCAGAGCCCCGCGGAGCGCACCGGAGCCGTTACCGAGCGCACCGTGGAGGGAGGCTGCGTCCCCCCCCCGGCTCACTCCGGATCCTCCAGCGGCTGCCCCGGTCCGAGCAGGCTGCCACACAACCACACAGCAAGCATTCAAAAGCACAAACTGACCGTCAGACCTCCTCCACCGTTAAATCCTCCCCGGTAATCCTCCGCTTCTCCTCCTCCGTCCGACAGAAAGGGAAGACTGGCTGCTGTTCGGCTGGGGAGCTCGGTTGTTCCTCCTTCCTCCCCCCTTTTTCCTCAGAGTCCAGCGGGCAGATATCGGGCTCAGTGCTCGGTGTCAGACCTCCTCTGTCCCCCCCTCCAGGCTCCGGCAGGGTGTCTCCAAAGTTAGGCTCATTCACCGGGAGAACCGAGCACAGAGAGCCCCAAAGATCCCGGAGAGCAACCGGAGACTGTGAAGCGTAAAGTGGTTCAGAAATAAATCACAGGAACCTCCAGAAGCTCCAGAACCGCGGTGGCCGCTGGGAACCCAACTGGCTGCTGCTGCTGTCGGACCTCAGTAACGCGTCCCGTCCTCCCGAGATCCTCCACTCTAATGTCCGCTGCCGAGCCTGAAGGATGAATTTCCACCCGGAGGAGGAGTGTAGAGAGAGAGAGTGAGGGAGGAGGGAGGGAGGAGGGAGGAGTGCCTCGCATTCTCTGAATTACTCCACCCCCAAACTGCCCCCCCCTTCTCACTTTTTTCCAACCTCTCTTTCATTCACTATATCTGCTCACATATTCTCTCCTCTTTGTCTTTCCTCCCCCTCCTCCCCCCCCCCCCCTGCAGCACTGTGTCTCTGAAGGCGCGCGCTCTGATCACCAGCACGTGAATCGATATGTTTACTCCTGTGATGATCCATCGATCCATCGATCTGCATGTAGAGCTGATTGTTTGTGACATATTCAAATGTTTAAACATTTGATCTTATTCTCAGTTTTTTATCCGTTTTATCAACTAAAATATGATAAATATATATATTGTTGTTAGATATTGTAATAAAACATTTATTTTAATGTTCTTATTATTCTATATTTATATTTCTTTAATGTCTTATGAGCAGCTGTAATCAGTTTCCCTCCTCTGGGATCACTACAGTTTCTGATCCTGAGTCTAAAATTAAAAAGGATATCAATTATTATTTCTATTCAAAGACTTATATTATATATAATATATATTATATATATAATATATATATTATATATATTATATATATATTAATATATTAATGTACAGAGATTTTTCTGAAAAATCAAAATGAAGCAACGACTAAACAAAAGTTAGATTTGATCCATTTAGAGCTCCAACGTTTTTACTGGGTTTAATGTGTATTTATCTTTTACTTAATACTTTGTTTATTGATCAGTTTTATAAATTTAGTGTAAAATGTGAATCAGAGAACTTCAGGATCATCGCAGACGAAAATGTCTGATTACAGATTTTATAGAAAACTACGATAAACTTTTTGATGCTTTTAGTCCGTTGTTGTTTTTGTAATTTAATTGTGAGAAAAGTGTAAAAAAATAGTTGCGTCTTTGTATAATTCATTAAAGATCGTGAGTTTGGTGACGTATGACTCAGCGTTTGTGCAGACTGGATGAATTTGCAACTTTAACTTTAATCCTTAATATAATTTAAACAGGTGAGTCGTACAGTTGTAATCTCTTGAGTCCAACGAGCTGTAAAGTTATTACAGTTATTATTAGTTCTTATGGAGACTGACTCACTGCTGGAGCCTCTAGTGGCCGTTAGAGGAACTGCAGCGTAGCAACAAACTCATTAGCATTATATAGCAAACAATTATAGCACTATAAGGTTTATATATTTATATAATATTCAGCATAATAACCAACATTTTATCCAACCGTTGCACCGTGAACATCCATCGATATATCGGAGAGTAACGAGCCAGCTGAGTTGCTTTTTCTCCATTTTGTCCGACCATAAAAATAAAAAACAGCCTTTGAAATCTGTATCTTTGCGAGGTAAAAGCCTCATTTATTTGCCCAACTTAGCGTGTCTTTGCTCATATTGACTTTATGGACACAGTGGCGGCTGCAGGAGTGGTTTTATATGTGCCGTGTGAAATAAGGCTTGATTGGATATAAAAGCTCAACTAAGTGTTCTGTGAATTCATAAAATCCTTCTTTGTGCGTGATAAAAGCCTCGCGCTTTGCCTCGTAATGGCTCTGTGAGGAGTTCACCTCTCAGGACCCAACTGAATTGTGACCATCAGTATTTTTTAAACCAGACGTCGCCCCTCGTAGCTCATAGTGTTGATATCCCTCCATTTACCAGGACCGGGTCCCGCTGTAGGCCGGCGTTAGAGAAGCAGAGCTTTGATGGAAGGTCACTGACACAAACAGTGAATGAAGAACGCCGTACAGGTGCCTACAAGCAAGGCACTTAACATGCATTTGTTTTGTTGAAGGTGGAGAATATGTAACAGTGTGAAGGGGGATTGTAAATGGAACATGGACTGCATCCTGAGAGCTCTTCACAATGTCACACAAACACATTCATACACCGACGGCCTTGCCATGCGCCGACCTGCTCATCGGTAGCAGTTCAGGGCTCCGTGTCGGGCTCAAGGACACTTCAACCTGTTTTTCACAGGAGCTGGGAATCGAACCAACAGCGCTGGGATACAAAACCTTTCTCTCCCTTTGTGTCCGAGCCTTTGAAAACCTTTTCACAACACAATGGCGGCTGGTTGACGAGCAGAGGATGAAAAACAGAAACAAATAAAAACATCTCCAACGTGTAAAACCCGTGGTGACATTATGGTGAAAATACTTTGTTGTGTTTTCTCCACTGGAAGGGCACCTTGGAGGGCACTTGGTCACATTTCCTCAATTGGAGAGGCACCTTGAAGATGTGTTTTGACCACTGGAAGGGCAACTTATTACATTTTCTCCACTGAAAGGGCACACTGGAAGGTACTTCATCATTTTTATCCACCATTAAGGGGTCCTAAAGGGCATATATTTTTCTTCTAACATGGACACTGGGTGGGGAGGGATGCCCTCCCTGAGTCCACCAGTGTGTCAACAAGTAGGTCAATTAATCTGACAGAGACAGGATTCTTTTATTTTCCTGTCTGTACAGATGTTCTCCTTGTGTCAACTGCAGACTCGAGTGGCTGACTGTCTTTCTGAAAACTGCTTTAATTTGACTGAGCTTTGTTCCGCCGTCAGATCTTTTGTACGAGACGAGCGGAGGTGTCACTTTTAAGTAACGTATGTCTCATTTCAGAATGAGTGAAATGTGAAACTTGCTCATTAAATTTGTTTCATTTCATTTGCGTTTTAATTGGAAGTCGAGTCTTCTCGGATCAAACAAATAGGAGCGCGAGGACGAGAACCCAACAGCGAACCGACTCAATGATCACATATGAAAGAGAAGAGGCAGAGAAGTACATGCAGACTGGATGTTTTTTGGAAGCAGGGGAGGAAGATATGTAGTTATAGCTCTGACAATGTACAGAATCTCTGTCATGCCTTTGAAGCACCCATCGAACTGAAGAGGAGTGATAGGGGAGAGGAGTGATATGGTTGAGGGAGAAGAGGGGTGAAACGTATCTTAGAAATTGTTGGTATTTTGTCACTGAACTAGGCCATCTTTGAGAGCGTTATTATAACTGACAGCACACATTGTCCCTATTGTGCAGAAAAAAATGTTCCATGAGTCTGAGGCTGAGTCAGATAATTGAAAAATGTTTTGTTAAATGTCACAAATGAAAAAGCCAAAATTGGACAATTGACCACTTCATCCTCCGTTCTTGGAAAAAAGGCCAGATTTCTGAGGCAGGCGAAGGTTTCTGGCGGTTTGTGACACATACGTTAAAACGTCTGTAATTTCTGCTGCTAGAGGGTCTCTAACATCAAAACTACAACAAAGGACGTCCCGGAGGGGCTGCGAGCCGAGCTGCTGCTAACGTTAGCTCAGCTTGTTTCTCTGATAACTTAAGATCCAGACGTCCGATGACTAAAATCCTTCATCCGGTTCAAATCTAGAGTTAAAAAGCACCAAGATCTAAACAGTGGATGGTAACAATGTGGCTTCAGACTGGATCAACAGTCAATGTATGACAGCTTCTGGCACAAAGAACTGAACTGAAAGTGTTCCATAGTTCTAGAAGAAGGCAGTCCACCACCCATGAATAAGACAGAGAAACAGAGAATTGTTATATTGAGCTCTCTGGCACGGGGCCGGTCTCAGCTCGTGTGGTCCAAGGCTGGAGCAGTCAATAGACTTAAACCTGTGGAAACCATGAATGTCTGCACCAAGTTTCACTCCAATACATCCAATAGGTGCTGACATATTTGAGTCAGGACTAGACAAGACCTACGTTTGCATCAACAGAGCCGTGCCGCTAGCATGGCTAAAAATAGAGGAGGACCTGAGTAGTTAGCATTCAGAGCGAGAGCCGCCACGACTGAAGAGACAAAGAGACGAGAGCCCTACAGTGACCGGATGTCCCAGTTTGTCCAGAGTCCCGACAAATACCTGTAAAAACACTGTAAAACACAAACTTGTCCCTATTTTCACTGTGAATAAAATAATAATTATAATATTATATTTGTTTTCAGTGCTTACACAGAAACCTCCAATATATAAACAGAATCTATCACACATCTGGAGTGAACACTGGTTTCTCTATGGCGCCTTCCCGTCAGTGTTAGCATGCTAACGGTTAGCAGAAGGACAAATGAAAGTGAAATTAAAGTTAAAAACAAACTCAGCATAAGCATTTTAGTATGAAACACAGGCACAAACTGCTGACTCCTCACTGATGCTCACAGACATCACAGGATACGACAGCGAGGTCAGCGGACTGTCGGTGAACTCCAACTGTACCCAACGTAATGGACTTCCACGCCGCTCCCACTCATCCAACCAGAACTCAAACATCTCAGCGCCGAGTGAAGACTAGCTGCTGGGGAAGTATTCGTTGCTCCTAACATCTTCAGACAGGCCAGGCTTCACTGAGGGGGCCGCTGTTTCAATATTCATGACGGTACATGACAGAAGCATCGATGAGAGGAGAAGTAGGAGTAAACCAACGCCACGGAGGGAGACAGGAGAGCTGGGAGAGAGGCAGGGAGGGCGGCAGAGAGGAGGAAGAAGTGATATCTAGTCTGACAGAGAAAGTGTGCGAGCTGCAGAGGAAGAAGGTACGACGCTACTACTACCTGCCAGAAATACAGAGGGCCAGACTAGAATACACTATAATAGGATATAATTGTGTACGTTATGGCAATCAGTTTAAATGATTCGTTTCAGCCACCGTTGCCATGGAGAGGAAGTCTGTCAGAGGCACAAATGAGAGCTGTAGCAAATGAATAATCTTTCATTGTTACAAAACACAGCACGATAGCATGACAGGAGAGCTGGAAACAGCGCTGGATGTTTCTGATGGAAGCCAAAAACCTTCCATTTGTCTGCATGAAATCACCTGAATCTCCACATTATAGAGCACAGCGTCCGGTTTACCCCTCCGCTCACCTGAATGGAGATTAAAAAACAGTTATCAGATGAAATTCTGATAACTCTGAAA